TAGTCTTGATACACTGCTGCATTGAATGGAACCATTTCTGTAATCGAAAGAAATGACATAAATTCAAACAAAACATAATAAAAGAAATGTATTCAGTTAAACAAATAGCTGAGGGAAATATACATGTACATTGAAATTTTATTTTTAAAAAGGAGCAATTGAGAATACCCACATTAAAACTCTCATCAATTATTTTGATTGCTAGAGTCAGATGGTACATGAAAATTTTATATATGTGCCTGTACTAACTTCAAAAAATCTTAAAATTTAAACACCAAAATAACTGACCTATTTATTGTTTTCTTCCGCTGGATTGAGGAGCTCCTTCAGTCGTCCCCCTTTCAGCTTGAAGTTAGCCGTCAGGAACTCGGGCTTCTTCTCCTCTTTTTCTGAAAAACATTCATTTAAAACATTTTGTATTCCTCAGTGTATAAATCATCATACTGACCTCAAAAAGAGCAATAATCATGTACTAATGACTCAAAAAATTTATATTTCAAGGCAACCACAAATAAGATTTGTGTACATGAACAGAACTTTTAGAATTTCATGAATGAGTACTTCTTTTTTCTCAGGAATTATTTACTTTATGCTACAATCAACAATATTGCAAAAAAAAAAAAATGTTTATTAAATTGACTAATAAACCTATGGTATTAATGTTATGAATTTTACATTTAAAAATGTTACCCGTGTAGACTATAGTAAGACCTGTAGCATGACATGTATCATGATACAGTGGAGAGCATATGTAAAGCATGAAAGATATACATGTATAATAGTATGGAAGGTAGATAATGGTACATTCTGATGTCTGAATGTGATTGATACAAAAGTACAAAGTAAACATAAAACAGACACAGCAATCATCACATAAATAATCTATAAGAAAAGATGGCTACATGTACATGTACATATACTTGTATGTAACAGTAAACATCCCTGATACACAGAAGAAACTCTTACTATTCCACATCTCCAGATAATCCTTGATCCATCAGAGCCTCTGTCAGACAAAAAAATTCAAATTTCCCTATCTTGAGTTATATTAATTCTACATAAACTAAAGAATGGACTCTAAGTTGTAACACTGAATACCCCTAGCTGATTTACTCTACTTGATTCTAACAACAAGGGTGACTGTGCCCAGGTAAACCAGCCATGAATGGTGGACACTTGATTCAGTGTTCCATCTGCACCACCAGAGTTGGCAGATTAAGGTAGCTTTATATGGCTAAGTTACGTCTGGTCACATTTTACAAGAATCAAGTATGCTAGATACCTTACACTACAGACTTGTTTGCCAAATAATCACGATAGTTTTAATTTCACTATGTTCATCATTTTTCCATAAAATTAAGCCTATAGAGAATGTTATTACATGTATTAGTTTTTGAAATTGTTTATACAAAATTTAAATTAATTTCCTGCAGCGTGAAATTAAAACCTTCATGATTGGTACTTTTTTATGATATTGTAAAATTTTAACACCGTGGAATAAAATCTACTTACAGTTACAAACCCAACCTTATAAATTTCAAAGTGATCCAGTCAAACAACAAGTTAACTCCACAATAATTAAGTTAATACCTGGAGTCCCAGAATCAACAGGTGCTCTTTTTTTGAGTGAGAACTTGAAGGCTGGTTCCTTGGGTGTGTCTGGTGTTGACTCATCACCCCGGGGACCACCACCCCCCATGCTCAATAGGTCACCCTCACTCTGGGTACGCTTCATCTTTTTCTGTCATTCAAAGTGAAAAATTTACGATAACTTTTGCTAAATGGTATTAATCCAAATACCCATGGTTTAAACATTTTGGAATTGTTTTCTTTATACTTGTATGTTGTTTACTTACTATGTTGTTTACTAACTATGTTGTTTACTAACTATGTTGTTTACTTACTAGTATGTTGTTTAATTCTTTCATGGCAATGGGCTCCTCTGCACCACCCTCTGATGGCTGTTAAATAAAAACTCAAATTAATTATTCATGTCATATAGTTTTTGACATTAATATCAAGAATTCTAAATATTTTTTTTAAATCAATGAAACATCATAGGTAAGACGTAATTAAAACTCCAGTCTAACTATGAAATTACATGCTGTGGTAGTTACACTGAGACACAGTCATATCACAATTTCTCTCTAGTTGAAGACCAGGTGCCCGTTTTACAAATGAATTTACCACTAAGACCAAAAATTTTGGTTGATTTTAAAATTTTGTAAAATTAATTATCCTGTTTGAAATTGCTAGCATAAAAATATCTTGTTAAATTTTTTTAAAAAAAATTAAAACAATTTTCAAATCAATGTAAAATAAAAAGTGAGTAAAATTAGATTTTGGTCTTAGTCGTAAGTTCTTTTGTAAAATGGGCCCCAGAGTACTATTACATGTACATAACAATTACTGACAGGGCAGTTTGTTTTCTTGCATCTTTTACTTTTTCTTTCAGTAGTGCTTTTCAACATTTCACAAAAGCGTTCTGTGCATGCTTCAGAGAGTAAAGCAGACGGGTTAACAGACAACCAGATAAAATAGGAAAAATAAATCATCTAGGTTTTTTTTTTGGAAGACTTCAGATGCTGCCTTCTTACATGTAAAATAAAAAAAAAACAACAAAATGCAGGGTTAGGATTTGTTCCCAACTAAAAGATGGATAGAACTAAAAACAGATCACTTCTCATTTTTTATGTTTTCAGACTGTAATGATACAAATTACAACATTAGTTTCACATGCTGCCATTGCAATTTGTAAAAAATTCATGCCCAAACAATGTATACCTCTTCTGATACAGATCCCAATCCACCTGCACTGTTCTTAGATCCCTACAGTAAAACCTGGATATTACATTCACTGTTTTGTCTTAGGTCCCTACAGTCTTACTGTCTTACTTTAGATCCCTACAGTAAAACCTGGATATCACATTCACTGTCTTATCTTAGATCTCTACAGTAAAACCTGGATATTACATTCACTGTCTTATCTAAGATCCCTACAGTAAAACCTGGATATTACATACACTGTCTTATCTTAGATCCCTACAGTAAAACCTGGATATTACATACACTGTCTTATCTTAGATCCCTACAGTAAAACCTGGATATTACATCACTGTCTTATCTTAGATCCCTACAGTAAAACCTGGATATTACATACACTGTCTTATTTTAGATCCCTACAGTAAAACCTGGATATTACATACACTGTCTTATCTTAGATCCTACAGTAAAACCTAGATATTACATAAACTGTCTTATCTTAGATCCCTACAGTAAAACCTGGATATTATATACACTGTCTTATTTTAGATCCCTACAGTAAAACCTGAATATTACATACACTGTCTTATCTTAGATCCTACAGTAAAACCTGGATATCACATACACTGTCTTATCTTAGACCCCTACAGTGAAACCTGGATATTACATACACTGTCTTATCTTAGATCCCTACAGTAAAACCTGGATATTATAATCACTGTCTTATCTTAGACCCCTACAGTAAAACCTGGATATTACATTCAATGATTTATCTTATATCCTACAGAAAAACCTGGATATTACATTCACTGTCTTAACTTAGATCCCTACAGTAAAACCTGGATATTACATTCCATTGTTAGGCCTTTTGATGTGACATTGAAATACTCTTTCTACCTAAACAATACTTAGTCTCATGTCAGGTGTGCCCACTCAACAGTAAAACCTGGAATATTACATAAACTGTTTTATGCCATGTTCACAGATTTGTATTGTTTGTAAAACCTGGATATTACATGATCATTGTTTCTTATTTTAACCATGTAACTTTAAAACCATGGATATTGTAAGGGTCATTGATACTCTGATAAGAGAGATAACTCTTAATGACATAAATGTCTATTATTCCTTTATAGATTTGCCAAGTTCATGAAGATGAAGTGTCTTTTGTGTCCAATTTTGCCCCGCAAGCTATGCTATAATTGTCAGTATTTGCTTATAAAATACATTTCTTTTGGAAAATCATTAAGGTTCAAGCAACATTTTATATGAGTGAGCAGAGGGTTTATGAACCTAAAATTGGGAGGTCAACAAACATTGTCAAAAATTTATATTCATTACCGTACATTTTGTATTTTACCGATCATTACCCTACATTTTTCCGGCAAAAAACAATTCATTACCGAATATTACATACACTGCCCAAAACAACTCATTACCGCTATACATATCGATTTAACCGGGTATGGTTCGGTATGTGAGTTCTAATCAACAGTATTCACTCACTATTTAATCAAAATGAGTACATATATATAAATAACTCTGCAGAAATTTATATTCACTGTCATTAACATTATGGCCACCATTAGAAGTTTGTTACAAATCGAGGGAACATTCACCATCGATGGTTTTAATTATAAATGTAGAAAAAATAAGACTTTCAAAAACTCAAAATTGTGGAGATGCGTTGAAAAGAGTTGCAAAAGCAGCTGCAAAACTACCTCGACGAAAATTGGTTATTATAATCACTGTTCAAAGTCTTAGATCACCTCCCCGTGAAAGGGGGATATTATAATCATGTACATGTATAGGTTGTACTGTACACGCATAAGTGGCTAAAACCTGAGGCAATGTAGCGGTAATGTACACTTTTTTATGTAGCGGTAACGTAAGGATTTTTGTAGCGGTAATGACTATGTAGCGGTAATGAAAATTTTGAAAATGTAGCGGTAATGATACGCACCCCTTAAATTACCTACCTTACACACACTACAAGTAAATTAGCTACCTCACACACTTAAGTATTTAGCCCTATTGTGGCGAGTCTTACCCTTCTCTTGACTGAGCGTCCACCGGACGTTAATGGCTTTCCACTGTTGATACGCTCCATCATTTCACTCATCGCTTTTGAAAAGTTGTCATTCATTGCTGGATTTTGTACTGAAATATTATCTTGTATTTGAAACATATTGTATCATGTTGAATATTAAACAAACATGTATAAGGCTAAGCCAAGAATGTGTTACAATCATTTTTAGATTAGTATATAAATTTGGTTATCAGTTTTGTATATGGATTTAGTTGATACATACAAGTTCCAGCAGGTGGTTTTTTCTTTTTCTTTGATCCGTCTCTCCTCAGCCGAGACAGAAATCTGAAATAATTTAGATCACTACATGTACATGTAGTAAGTTCTCTTGCATGTGTCAATCTACCCAAAAGAAATCTACTGAATTTTAAATCATCTATTTAGCACTTAATTCATACATGTATGTAATATGTAGTAATTTAATTTTAGTTGTAACACGTCATTTGATTGGTTAAATGGTTTTATCCATTTTGTATAACATAACTTGCCTATGGCACAATGAGTTACGTCAAAAACGTATTACTCCGCTGGACGTTAACATTTAAAATTTGCAATATTTGAAGCTTTTTTCCGAAGGAAAAAATAGAAAGATCATTTTATTGTCTACATTGAAATTAAATTATAAGGAATGAAGCTTATTTCAACTTATTTTATACGATATAACATAACTGGGAGCAGTTTACACTTTATAAACCGCTCCTTAAATAAATAAACGACAGTAAAACTTACTTATAAAAAACTCACTTGTAGGAAAACATTGTTATAAGTAAACTTTAAAAAATCTCAACAAAGACTTTTTACTTTGTTCTTTATATGGATGATTTAAAAGAGCCTCTGTTATAATGAGGTAAAATTTGAGATCATGTAGACTTATGTTTCCTTTATTCTACAGTATTTTGATGTGTATTAACTATCAATAGTTTACCCTCTACACCTGTCTGATGATTAAAACGGGGATACCTACCCTTTAGATTTGGTGGTCAGTGATGGGGGTGGGGGAGGAGGGGGAGGGGGTGGGGGTCTTGTTGCCTCCTCTAGCTTCACCTCCAAGGCTTTGTCTACACATACAAATGAAACATATTTTAAAGAAATACATAATGTTTTGTATCAATAGTAATATGACTCCTATTTTTGATTTAAAATATGAACCTTTAAAGGCTTACATTTATCTTGTAGTACTTTGTACTGCTCCTCAAACTGTTTGACTCGGTCCTCGAGTCTACTGATCTCCTCCAGGTAAGCCGAGTTATCTGGCTCCTCCACCACTGTCTCCTCAGCCCTCTCCTTCAGCTCCTTAATCTACAAAGATCATAATATATTAATATCTCCTTAATCTACAAAGATCACACTCAAATAATATCTCCTTAATCTACAAACGAGGACAAGTTCATTCAGCAATCAGTTAACTTTGTACCAGGGAGACAATTGTGTTAATCTTTAATCAAAATTACAAGTCTTATTCAACTAAATTCAACTGCTAGAGAGAACATTGTAAATATTGTTTTAAACCACAGTAGATTGTTTCTCAGATCATATAACCTATAATGGGAATATCCCACAGAAGTACTCTTATTTACCTCCTGTTCGTATTTCTGTTTCTGGGTCTCTATGTCCTGGGTGAGCTGTTCCACCTCCGCCAGCGCCATCATCAGTTTGGGATCGGACGCCGCCTCGGTCAGCAGGATCATGCTCTGTTTCTTCATTGCCTCATTCTGGATTCTTATCTAAGCGCAAGAACCACAAAATTCAGAAAACTCAGCCTATATTCATCCTTTATTTGTAACTCACTTGAACTTCAGTACCAAACATCAGTGATACAGTTTAAAAATTAAAGTCAGTATGTACTTTAGTTCATATCTCAGTCACTAATATCAGTACTTTCCTCGGTAACATACATTAATGTACCTTAGTAATTAACAGTAGTACTTTCTTCCATAATTAACATCAATAGTTATACGTACCTCTGTAGCAAATTTTTCTGCTCCACTGCGACACTGCTGTTCTAACTCGTATCTCTGCTGTAAATGAATTATCGATGTTGTTTCACTGCTCCAAACAATTACCAGACACTGAAATATTTTAAAATACAATTTCATGCATATAAATAATTTTAAAATTCATTATATAATTTGGAAATAAATTAATAACACTTGATTCAAATTAATATTTGAATGATAAAGGGAAGTAAATGATCGCAAGTCGACAGTGTTCAACACCAGAAACAGTAGTTAAATTAATTGAGATTCAATGCTTTAAAAGTTAAAAAAAATTAATTAGAATATATAAACACTTTTTTAATGAATAATAGAAGATATAAATAACTTTTATTTTACCCTTAAGAAATTAAACAAGAGGCCCATCATGGCTTCCTGAGTAACTGCTGACGATCTATCTACCAGCCTCCTCTTGCTATCCTATCATGCCCAACAACTCCCTTCCTTTTTTTTTTAAAACTACACACAACAAAACAGGACTTCCTCATTATTTATATGCACATCAGTGGGTGAGAAGAAGATTTTTTAAAGATGTTCTACATATTTCTATGTAAAATTGGACCTGATAAAATTTAAAATAACTACACTACACAAAATGTCATAAGTTTCAGCTTTCCTGGCCCAGTGGTTCTTGAGAAGAAGATTTTTAAAGATTTGTTCTATATATTTCTATGTAAAATAGCCAGGCCCCTCTCTAAGGGAGATTTTAACAATTTAATATCTACACTCCAAGGACTGTGACAAGCTTTCCTGGCCCAGTGGTTCTTGACAAAAATTCAGTAAACATAAAATAAGGGGACTTCGATCCAGTTTAACAATTTAAATCCACTTTACCCAAGGATGCTTTGTACCAAGTTTGGTTATTTTTGTTCTTGAGGGATGTCGAAAATGTGAAAAGTTTACAGACGGACGGACAGACGGACGGACGTACAGACAGGCGGACGCTGGTCAAAATGTGATCAGAAAAGCTCACTTGAGCCTTCGGCTAAAAGTGTAAATAAATACTTTAATTATTAATGATTGAATATTTTACGTATCAAAATTTAGGACAAGGCTATTTCTTTTGGCAGTGATGCCTAAAATCAAGTTTTAAAAATTTGTGGTTAAATCCTCACCATGGGATAGATCAAATTTTTCCGTTTTATAGTAATGTAAAAAATCTTGGATTCTTTTTTTTCTGTAGTGCCCCCTACCCCGCCCTCTGGAGAAAAAATTCTGGCCTGACAATGTTTTCATTGCTCTCCAGAGCCCAAGAATGTAACAGAAATTTTTAAATTCACAGTGAAAAGACATACATAGCTGAGTAACAAATCAAAAAGATCCAAACACAAGAATATTTTCAAATATAAATATTTAACATAAGTTGTTTCACAGTGTTTAATTGTTTATGTAAAGAAATAATCTGAACCCCCCCCCCCCCCACACACACACTTCTGATATTTCCAGGGTGGTAATTGTAATGATATATCTTTGTCGCAGATTTGGATTGTAAGTAGATTTTATTTATTTATTTTTGAGATCGATCGCGTTGGGCTATCTTCGCCTTTTAAGGCAAGTTGTCATGATCTTCCCTTAAAAAAAGAAACGATGTTGCAAGTATATCTGCGACAGTTCCTAGAGAGCGAATTTACGATCTTTAGTACACTTGTCAAAAGATGAACATTTATCATAGAAAAACAAAAACATTGTAAACTTTTATGCACTATTGTTTTTGTTTTATATACTGGTTTTATAAATATATATACTTTTCTTCAAAGGCCTTTGCCTTCAACCAAGATATGTATTAGGGTCAAACAGTGTAATCAAACACATTTCCTATATAAAACAATGTTGCACTGTGGTTTTCTTCTGCATTAAAAAGTGGGGGGGGGGGGGGGGGGGCACAAACATACTCTTGCCCCCCAGATGTGAAAGTTTACGGCTGCCCCCCCCCCCCCCCCCCCCCCCCCCCCCCCCCCGTGACTACGCCTATGAACAGAAAGGCGGAGGGTGATTGAAAAATTGTGCAATATAAAGTTAACCATAATGATATAAACGTATTTTACTAAATGTTTGGTATGAATCAAAATCTGTCTACAAGGAAAAGACTTAGAGAGATTTTTTAAAAATAATTAAAATTCTCTTCAGAAGTATGCCTATTTATTTTAATGTCATTAAAAGCCGTTTCCACCACTTAATATGTGATTTGTGCGACCGGAATAAATGCCGTTCGATCATATATAGAATGTTTAATAAAAGGCTTTTTCCTTTAATAACAAATTCGGTTGCGATTAAACAGCATGCTTAAATGACGCTTTGGATACACATTTCGATACATCTCCGGGTTTATGACACGCATAATGCACCGTGTTGTCAACCTCGACGGCGAATATAAATAGGTGTTCGACTTGCGGTCAGTTTACCCTATGTACTTTAGTTCAGATCTCAGTCACTAATATCAGTACTTTCCTCAGTAACAAACATTAATGTACCTTAGTAATTAACAATAGTACTTTATTCCATAAAACACAGTTATCACACCTCTGTAGCAAATTTTTTCTCCGCTGCGACACTGCTGTACCAAATGTGTGCAAAACTCCCTCACTGCTCCCTCAGACACTGAAAGATAAATAATACTGTAAAGTATAATTCATTTGTAAGAAATAAATTTAAGCATGATTGATATTTTGAATGATAACTGTACAATTACTCATCAAGCTGAGGTTACATTGATTGAGATTCAATGCAGTTCAAATAAAGTCACATGTTAGTTAGAGTTATCTACCCTTCTCCAGTTCCATCATGGCTTCCTTATACTGCTCCACGACTATCTCAGCCTCCTCTCGGCTCTCCTTCATCTCCTCAAACTACACACAACAAAACAGGACTTCTCATTATTTATATGCACATCAGTGGGTGGGTAAAGAACAGAGTAAATCCACCTGATAAAATTTAAAATAACCGATACACAAAATGTCTGACCTTGTGCTTCCACTTGTTTGAGTGTTCCTTCTCAATAGCCAGATCTTCTCTAAGGGAGGACAACTCCTCCTTGACTGTGACAAGCTCCTCTTCTAGTTCTGACAAAAATTCAGTAAACATAAAATAAGGACTATCGATCCAGTTCAACTAGTTTTAAATGGATAAAGATGTGATATTATTTGGTTATTTCAAGAAATATCTGTGATAATTTTCTTGTTTTTAGGACCTTTCTATAATTTAGATGTGATGAGACCTTACTCTGAATTATCTATGATACCGGTAATTTACATGACGAGACCTTACTCTGAATAATGTATGATAAATTACATGATAAGGACCTTATTCTGAATTATCTGTGATAATTTACATGATGAAGACCTTACTCTGAATGATCTGTGATACTTAACATGTTTGTATAGGACCCTACTCTGAATAATCTGTGACTATTATTAACACCTGTTATTACTCTGAACTGTCTGTGATGATTTACATGTGTTAAGAACCTTATTCTGAATTATCTGTGATAATTAACACCTGTTAAGGACCTCCTTACTCTGAATGATGTCGGCCTGCTCCTTCCTGAAGTCCTCCATTGAGTCTTCTTTTTCGTCCAGATCCAGGTTCATCTGAGTGATGTCTGGGGGGTTGGGTCCCTGAAGCTCCAGCAGCATCTTAGACTGTCGCTTCAGCTCCTTGTTCTGGGTGGAAATCTGTTTATAAAAAGAACATTGTGAATCAAAACAGAAAGAAAAGGACTCTGAAATCAGCTCAGTATTTTTTCTTTATTTTTGTGCTTATTATTTTTGGCTTGAGTTAAAAAGCAAAACATATTTATTCTTTCAACTGATGATGCTTATCCAAAAATCAGCTGCAGCTCTAAACTTGTGTTTTATTGACAGAAATTTATGATGGATGGACCATTACAATTAAAGTCCAGTAGTTGTGTTCATGGGCTGGTCAAGGCTGCAGGCTCATGTAACGAGCTTCTTTGTGGTTTTTATATCTCAGTCTGATTGATCTGGTGGCAAAGTCCTTGGTTCTTACCTTAGTGGCTAACACCTCAGTATTTTGTAACTTAGTCATCTTTACTTACCATAGCAGCTAACACCTCAGTCTGGTAGACTGACATGGTCATTAAACTGTTAGTCCTTGGTACTGACCTTAGTGGCTAACACCTCAGCCTGGGTTCTACAGTTGAATTCAATCTCATACTTCATCTTCATTCTTTCATACTCGGATATAGCGGGTTGTATCACTATAATTCATCAAATTCATACATGTGATATTTACTGTTCTTTTTAAAAATGTTTTACTAAGAATAAATTCAATGCCAATAAAAGTTAATTGATAAGAAAATAACATTTTTAATGTATATATAATTTTTCACTTCTTGTATACTGTGGTTTCATCAATATTCGTTGAGCACCAATTTTTGAGGATTCCTTTGTTGAGCTGAATAAAATGTTCATTGAATAAAAATCTGTTATTCTTTTTTAATGCTTTTGTATATATGCTTTTTTTTGATGCCAACAAAAATTGATGAAATCACAGTATGTGAGTTAACTTGGATGATTGTCTTACATTTCTTCATCTCTTTCAGCTGACTTTCTCTGAGTTTCAGGCGGTGTACTACGCTGTTGTACTAAAAAGTGATTAAAATAATTATTAAAATTTAAAACAAACTTAGTAACATACTTTACATGTATCAATTCACTTATGATCATCACTTTTTAAGTGCATACTTTTTAGATCCACCCAGTTAAATTGAACTATAGTCAGGATTGATTTACTTCTCCATTCTTAACTTTTAATGGTGACAATTGAAATCCATCATACTTGTGAGCAATATTTGAATGTAACTTGAAAATAAATAATTCACTTTTTCTCTTACCGCTTTTTCATTTTCTTGGAATTTATAAAGCAGGTCATCATACTGTACAAGAACTGAAAAAAAGAAATAGAAATGAATTCAAATATTTATGTATAGTAGTCAGGAAATTTCACTATTCTCTGGCCATATCAACAGTTCAGATGGTAGAGCATCTGATTATTGATTCAGGGAGCCTGTTAATCTGGTCTGCTGCATTTTTCCTTGCAGGTTGCACATGTACACCATTCCAAAATTTGAATGGATTAATGCACAGGTAATATAATCAGATTATAGGCTATGCGATTGTCTGTCTTCTTTTGAGGTAGTTGGGGGATCAGAATTTAATTTCAGTTTACTGGATGAAACATTGCTATGAATGTGTAATGATTAAAAGTCTCCACATCCACAAATAGTAACAAGGATCTACAGGAAGTGAGCAGACATGGGTAAGAGGAAGCAACCAACAAGGATGTAAAACAACTAATCCAAACTGTAGGGGAAAAAATAATAAAGCATGTATGTAAATAACTAGTGAACGGGTAACCTCTTTTATTTTGCCATAACGATGTATTTTACATTGTTGTTTACTTAAAAAATAAATACATCATTTAGGGAAAAGACGTTTCCTTACAACTTCCTCTTTCAATTTTCCATTTCGCCGACTTACCTTGACTTGACAGCGATTTCAATTTATCATATCGTTCTTGTAGCTCTGCTAATTCATCGTTCTCCATCTTTTCTGACATGTTTTCTTTCTCTGAATCAAATTCAGACATGACTTTAGTTAGTAGATCCTCTATTTGTCTGGAGTATTGACTAGACTGTCTCAGTCTGGCCTGGAAAATAAATCAGGAAGTTTTAGCATGAATTCCGATCCCGATCTGAAATCGACCCAAATGTTCTAACCCTTGTATGGCGACAGGAAATTTTGAGGGTGTGTGTGTTGCACATCCCTTTAAAATAGCCGAATAAGGCACACGACTCAGTTTTTTTTTCCTTAAGGACACATGATACAAGCAAACTTTTATTTTAAAAATTCAGAGTTTCTAGTAGATACAGTTCAATAGGATTGTTCAAATATTGCTAATCGAACTTTATTTTCTTATTTTCTGTTTAATGAAAAATATGCAATTTTTTGCGGGACTTTTATGATGCTTAAAGATGCTGTATATATATCTAATCAAACAAAATTTGAGGAAAAACTCTTTGGTAAATATAAATCATGTTTTTCTATTAAAAAATCATTTTGCAATTTTTTATTAACTCCAAGAACAACTTATGGTACTATGATTTTTTCCTATATATTAAAAATCAAAACCTCGAGAGCAAATTAAGAATTTTTGGTCCTCTTCGCTCCTAACAAAGGAGCGAAAAAAAACCTTTAGGCTTCCGAAGATGGAAATCTTTTGAATTTATAATGTGCTTTATTTGCAGGTTTTACGACACCTGACTGCTGATTTTAGAATAATTATTGTTTGTCTGTCTAATACAATTCAATATAAACTTTTGATTAAATATATAATTATATATATTACATATGTATGAATTAAAATACAATTTTCGTTCTCAATAAACAGAATGATCTATGCTCATTATATATATTTCACAGTTCAGTATAATAAAAGCTCTTTATAAACATATTTGCACAAAGTTTTATCTCTGTATATTAAACTGTTAGTTTTATACACATTCTTCCTTTTCTTTGTTTTGACCATCGTAAACGTTGCATTTCTGAACACTTAGTATCGTTTTTAAGACCCTCCCCTTTTGGGGAATATCGGAGTGGACCGAAAACCCTAGGCTAGCGAAGATGCTCATGGGAAAGTTGATTGATTGATTGTATATTGTTTAACGTCCCTCTCGAGAATTTTTCACTCATATGGAGATGCCACCACTTACCGGTGGAGAGCTGCAAATTTTGTCCTATACAAGGCATTTAGGCCATTGAGCAGGGAGAAAGTAGTCATAACAACAAAGTTTATTTTTAAATAAAATTTGTTGAAAGACAGTGCCAGCACCTACTGCGACACGGGACCTCGGTTTATTTTTCCAAAATAAAACTTTGATTGTCAATTGTGGATCTTATCTAATTGATTTGGAAAAAAAGATTTTACAATATATCAGTTGAAGAAGCGTTCATATAATTTTCATTTTTTTGTCTGAACCATGCAGTGTGGCTCCTTAAACATTATCCTCCCTTGGAATACAATGCTAAATTCCTCCACATCCAAGGATACTTAGTTCCATTAAATAATGGTCAAATTCCAATCAGAAAAGCTCACTAAACAATTCTGTTCAAATGCTTCAATGGAGATGCACCTTTCAGAATTTCTGCTCAGTAAAGAATATAAGGTACGGCCGATTTTCAAACCTTTTTGGAAGGGAATTTTATAATAACATATTGACAATTCAGGACAATATTTGAATTAAACTGATATAAACTGGTTTCTTTTTTAGCACTGTACCATAGCTCAATTTCAGTTTCCCTCCATCACCCCCTTATCAATTGACAACCACCTCTGATGGGAGCATTAGGTCACAACTGATGTCATTTTATTCTAATATAAGAGACAACTAACAGTGTCGAAGATAAAGTGATAACAAATTTTATTTACAAGAACAAGATTTGTGAGGTTAAAGCACTAAACATTTGTTATTTCTTTTCTAAAACGATTATGTACAAATTCAGTTATGTCTACACATCATTTAAAATTAATTAGTGTAAAAATAGCGAGTTAAAATCATAATTTGATAAACTTTATACAAAATTTCAGCACCATAGCAAAACTGGGAAATATAGAATAGGATTAAAATTCGATTTAATGTAAAAGTCATCTTCTCTAACTCAAAATTATCTTTGACAATAAGAATTCAATACTGTAAACATTGATAAACGTTACTTCACAATAAAGATCCAGTGTCCAAGATCACAGAATCACACTCTGTTGATAGAATTGCTGGATATTACAATTATGTCAAATTCCTCTGCTGTACTAGGGCGCAATTGCGCCCTTCAGTTACTGCTTTCACTGTCACTGTCACGGCGTCGCTTTCCCGTAGCTAGGCGCCTTGCATGAAGTTGAGTAAGGCTTGGAGCAGAGAGGTCACCATCGTTTTTGGGACAATAGCGTATCGTGTGGGCGTTGTCCCCAGAAACCCCACACAGAGGACACGTGTACTTACGGAGGATGGGACAGCTGACTTTCCCTTCTTCATCTTTGAGCACGTGACTTGAGTAGATGACCACAGTTTCTCCGTTGTTCTTACAGAAAACACACAGCTTCTTTTGCTTAGCTCTTCTGGCAGCCCGCTTCCGTTCTTTGAATGCCATGACTTCCAGAACCACTGGGTTTGATTCCTGTTGGACGGAAATTGACGAATGTCTCCGGAGTTCCACCTGGTAACTGTCCAGCTCGTCCAGTTCCACGTCTCGGCCGTTATGTCGGAAATCCTCCAAGGAGTCCCTACGCATGGCGTCCAGGGGGTCGAAGGGCCGGAATCCTATGTCATTCAACGAACCGACACACAGTGTTCCAGGAAAGCCGGTACCGAAAAATTCCCCGTCACTGCTATTGTCGTCAATGAAGGATGGCGAGAGTGTCATAAGATTAGTGAGATTGGACACTAAATCTTTATTCCAGGCTATATCACTAAAACCTAGGTAGTCCTGGAACGGTTTGTAAGGGTCCTGGGGACACGCCTGTTTTCTGTTCTGAGCCATCTTGCATCTCGTGTGCCAGTCCGGGATTTGTTACGTTTAAATCTCAGCAGAGGCGGAGTTTTACTCAAACTGTCAGCAGTACTTTACGCTCGAATAATTAGAAAGCGTGAATACTTTCCATAGCCTGGTGTGAACTGATTGGTCAATTGGATAGCGAGGAGGTGTCTAAACTATTTATGTTCAATTAATGTGAGCACGCTGGCTATTACAAATCCATTAGGGCATCAAAATAAACAAACGAGAGAGATAGAGAGAGAGAGGAGAAAGAGAGTGAATTTCCGTTTTCATTGGTGTTGAATTCAAATTAAAATATGTCCCCTTTTTAGTTTTTTTTTGCTAGATTTTAAAAAAGTTAATTACATGTGTAACATGTATATTTAAATTTTAAATGAGGGGAGGGTTATCTACGGACTTTTATTAAAAGTTCTATGGTAAAAAGTTACTATGTCCTGGGAAAAAAGTGGGGGGGGGGGGCGGCACCAACATGCAACGTGCCCGACAAGTCATGGATTTATATGAGAGAGTAAGGTTTATGTTAAATAAAGCAATTCCATAACAATGAATGGTACTAAAATATTCCTTCTAGTGTTTAATATTAAAGTTTTAAGTTTTTACCAAATCCTTCTGTGTTAAAATACTCAGAAATGAATTCTTGTATACCATCAACTAATAATTTTATTTGATGTTTTTGAATTTGTATTTTTTTTTCCATTTAATCAACTACATTTTTTTTTGTACCAGAATTTCCGTTCATAAATTCTCCTGTTTATCTAAGCAAATATCATCACAGAATTATTAAAACAAGAAAATCACAGAGAGGGAAAATATCTTTGAGTTTACAGTGACCGACCCATGGGTAACACTCCGGGAGGGGTTGGTGGGTTAAGATCAAGGCCTAGTCTAATCCCTTTTATTGCATTATACAAGTCCGCTGTCAGCACTATTGGTGTAAGCCTTTTATGTTTATTAACAGTATGATAATCCTCTACATTGATATTTAAGCACCCCGAGACTTAATTAATATGTTTATTTTTGTTAATTGGTTTTTGACACATAAAGTATCCTAAATAAACAAAAGTTGCGTTTATCACATCAGGTCTCATGGGAAACGTATATATATAACAGGGCAAAGCCCAGATACACGCGTGAGAAGCTTCCATTAATTAATTGTAAAATCCCCATTCTTTTAAACTTAGCTGAGAGACCTAGGATCCTGACGCATCTTTTAGGTTAAATCTCTATGTTGTACGGAAATAAAATTATTATACAAGTCAAATTGTCAAGAATTAAAAGCATATTTTTTCTATTTTTTAATGCTTTGCAATTTTTTTCCCTTCAGATACAGACTTATTAGACAATAAGTAAGTCCTCTTCATGAAACTGAGGCCTGGTACATTGTGTATTGCTAATTTTGATATTTATTACTTTTTTTTCAATTAAAGTATTTTTTTTTTTACCGTACACTCTTATTATCGACTAAAGAAATGCTTAAAAAACTAAATCATTATACTTAGAGTAAACAATTGTGAGCATGCACATATCGAGGTATTATGCCCTCTGCTCTCGAATATACATGCATTATATCTATGTCTCATCTTTACAGCGCATGAATGTAACCGTGATCACGTGACCTATTTTCCTCCGAACATCCCATATTTCATTGCTGACACCCAAATCTAAATGAAAGCCATTTAAAAAGTCACATAACAATTGATTTATATATTTTGTAATCATCAAAAGCAATTCGTAAAACAGAAAGTGCTGCGCTGTTATCGAGGGACCCCTTAACATCAATCATGGGGGCTTTCCGCTCGCCTCCTCTCGCTCCTCTGAAATCGTATCCCCTTCATGTTACAGGTGGTTGGAGGAAGATGAATGGGAAACCTCCATCGCCGTCCTCAGCGGGGAGTTTACTTGATGTGGGAATCCCTTTTGTACAACACAGGGGTGATGTTATTGTTGTAAGCAAACAAGGCTGAGGCGAAGACATTAGTAGATAATAAATTACTGCGACCAATTGTAAGCTCCATTGATTGCCGAAAGTTAAAGACGTAATCCATTTTTTTTTACCACATTATGTGCTTGTGATATAATTATGTATGTGCAAAATGTATTTATTAGTCTCAAAATTTACGGCATATCGGCGGTAAATTATTATTAATACCGTAAAATATTAAAGAAATTGTAGTATTGAAACGTGCGTATATACACTTTTAACTATTTCGTTGAAGGGGATGGGGTGGGGGATGGCCAATCCCGCATCTTCCATGTACCGGCATATTCTTATTCAGTTCTTGGGTCCACGCATGACGGCTACCACAGGAGAGGGGGTGATGTTTGAAATTTCGCTTTTTATCAGTGAACATGACTGGTCATGCTATACTCAAGATTGTGATTTTAAATACAAATTTCATTTGTCATGTATTATTACTCCGGTCTAACTTTTTCATTCCAGTAAAACAGACTTTCACAAATAATATATCAATGGAGTAAAATAAATCATTGTGAGAAGATGGTCACAAAGCACCGTAAATGTTTTTTTTACTGGAGTAGGCCATAATTTATTAAAGAAAAAAAATTAAAACAAAAATTAAATTTTACTGAGGCAATACAGTACTGTAATATTCAGTCGTCAGTGTTTTTATCATTACTGTAATGCAGTTTTAGTGGAGTAAAAATAAGACATTTTTTGAGATCTCTAGCTTGCAAAGAGCTGATCACTATATTAGGTCGGGTTCGGTTTAGCCAGGTTAATTAACCAAACACCTCGCCGACATTGACGCTTCTTGGATACAACAAACATTTTACCGTTTTAGTTTTTACGATATTGGTTGGAAATATATCGCAAAAACGATGTAATGAAATTAATAGACTGTGTTTTATTATCTTCATGGGTATAACATCGAAGTGCAAAATGTGACACTGCTTGAAAATGTGCTGTACTACGACAAACACTACATAGCGTCAGGTCGAATTTCCTCTAATCTAGGTAAATCGCAGAATATTTACACATTTCCTATTTCAGAGACATTTCATGAGACCTATTTACACATGAAAATACAGACAACTGGTAAACTTTATTTTTCCCATTACAATGCGATACTTGAAATAGAATTTCTATTTAATTCTAGAATAAACATTTTAGAAAAGACCAATTAGAATATCAATCAGTTCCATTTGATGTAATCCAATATAAGGATAAAGTAGTACTTTGACTGAAACAATATACAATTTACATATGTTAAAAAATAAATTGTTAATTCCAACAGTTCATATTCACAGTTTCGTATTTCCAATTTTCAAACAAGAAAGATGCACAAATTAAACTAGGGAAGTGTGATTTTATCAGGGAGAGGTATACACGGTATTATCTACTGTCGACCGACGCTTGGCAGTTGACACTTTTGTTTGTTGACCGGGGTCAGGTCGATACAGTTGACACTTTTCATATGTTCTAGTGTCGACCAGGGACAGGTGATATGGATTACACTTTTTGTATTATCTACTGTCGACCAGGGACAGGTCGACTAAATACTTCCCTTGTGTTCTTTACCGGGGACAACATACTTTATAAAGTCCAGAAATTATTCATTTATTTGTTCAATCTTTCAAATTGACACAATTACTAATCACAGGTATTAATGTATAAAAAATTAATGTAAAAAGGTGAACTAACCCTAATCACACCTATTAATGCGAAACTAACTCTTTTCACATTAATAAACATAATAATGATTTTAGACTAACCCTAATAAAAATAACCCTTCACAGTTTTGAAAGTAAAATTTTGTGGTTAAATGTCTAGCATATGGTTTTTTAGAATAGAAATGGTTAAATGACTTTTCATATAAAATCATAATGTAAAAACTGCGAATCACTACTTTTATATAAATATAAGCTTCCGCATAGGGACTACATACCCTTATATTGGAGTTGACCCGATTTATTCAGGTAATAAAATCAATGTATGATACAGGGTGGTACAAATATCAATCACAGTTCCATTTGATTTAATCGAGTTATCTTAAATACAATTTAAATATGTTAAAAAATAAAATGTTAATTCAACTGTTCATATTCAAGTTTCGTATTTCCAGTTTTCAAACAAGTATGAATTTAAATAAAGATGCACAAATATAACACAGTAATGGTCTTGGTTGTGGATATTGGGTAGCACAGTCAACAGAGCACCTGGCTAGTGATGTAGGGGTCCCAAATTCAATTCTCAGTCTAGCAATACATTTTCTCCTTTCCTTTATAGGTTATGATATTTAACATGATAAAGTTAAATAATGAATTAATGCTTCTGTTTATAGAAATTGAAAATATTTGATCATACTGATGATTTTCTTTTCATCATTTTTAACTATCATTATAATTTTTCCTTTTACATTTTTCAGACACACTTGAGCAATGTCTTTGTTCAGAGAGAAATCCGAGCGAGTAAAGACTCCAGCCTTATTTCCATGTGCAGCAAAGGTTAAAGTTCCTCAGCTGGGGTCAGAGGAAACAGATTTTGAATTGAAACTTGCAAGCAAACCTGCACCAACCTCAGTTATTTTCAAGTCCTTTCAAGCTCCTGAACCTGTTCAGAGAAGTTACCTGAAGAGAATCAGTGCTGATTTACGCTTCAGTGAAGATGTGGTGGAAGACCGATGCTTTCATATGGTGCCTTATGACACAAAGTATTTGTTCCAAGCTCTTGACCCTTGTAAGCATTCAAGTTTCTTACGAAATATTGAGATGTTTTGTCTTGCATCGGCTTGTCAGCATAATAATCAAGTCAGTTATCTCTTTCTTAGCTACATGTTTATGGATTTAATCCATATTTTGTTTCATTTTAATGAATTAAATATTGTACACTCTCCTATAGGAAGTAAAGAGTTTTAAAAAAGGAAAAAATTATAATGTTATTTAAATTGTTTAATAGATGACATTGTGTCCCCACCACCTCATGCTAAGATTCCCCCGGGTCGCCATGATGCCCGGGGCATGGACCAACGACATATGCCATGTCACCTGACAAAGTCGTACAAACCTCACCTGAAACCCCTGAAGAGGAAAATAATGGAAAGAGCGAGAGAGATGCACAAGTCCGTGATAGCACAGTCCCAGGACACAGCAACAGAGGTCTCCTCGGAGGAGAGTTTCTTCTTGACGGAGGTGAGCGGTCAAAAACCAGTCAGTGCTCCTCCTCATGTACAGGATGTGAAAAAATCAGTGCCAAAGGAAAAGAAAAAAGCTGAGGAGATCAAGCCCAAGAAGAGATCACCAAGAAAAAGTGCATCAGATAAGAGTACTCTGGACACGGAGCAGGAAGCAAAGGAGGCATGGGAAAAATTCTGCAGGGAAAACTACGACTGGGACGCCTACACTTTATCTAAAGTCAGCTCACATATGTCAAAGTGGGTGGTTCTGGAGAAGATGCCGGACGGCCCAGACAGGGACAGACTGAAGAAGCTTGTGGAGGCGTGGTACGGTAAGCAGGACTCCTCTGACCTGTTACTGGAGTCCCTGGGGGAACTCAAGAAAGAGGAACCAGCAGAAGTCAAAAAAGATGCGGAGAAGCCGAAGAAAAAGTGGAAGAAGCCAGAGTCCACGTAAGTAAAACCACAAGAGGAAAGTGAATGAAATGTGTAAAATTCAGATGTTGTCTTTTTATACCGGGGTATTTGAGAAAATAAATGTACAGATAATGAGTGTACAATTTATTGTACAGGATACTCGCTCGAGTGTATGAGATGGATATTGCAGAGGACATAACAGAGCCTCACGCTCATGATCCGTACTCGGACGACTCTAAAGCCCCGTTTTATAGAAAACCAGTTGGTCTGCGGCGGGCAATTAAACATGCAGAAAAGGAGGAGGAAGGTATGGGATCACATCTAACAGTTTAAAATACCCCTCCCTAACAAGCAATTTGTTTTTATACCCTCTTAACAAAATTTAATCAAGATTACTGATAAACCAAAACAAAAAATTAAGGAAAAAAGAACATAAAATTAAAACAATTATATCACAGTTTTAATTATTATTTTTATCCTCACTATGTTCACCTTGTGATGTTTTTTTTTAAATAATTTTTATCACTTTTCATTCCATACATTTGTTTCCTTGTCGTTGTGTAACCAGTCTGTTTGTCTGTTTGTTACTCATTTTCACCTGTTTGTTTTATTCACCTCCCCCTGGCTGACCTCCAGTGACCAATAGTGCAGGTTTGTACCAATTTTTCTTTACCACACTCTAGCACTCTACTAATATGGTAATAGGGGATATTAAGTAGTATATATATCATACATACTGTTTATTTGATTAACAAGTCTTTAAGATTTTCTAATTTGTTTGTGTTTGTAGATCATAATTTTTGCTATTAGAAATTTTGAGATATAATTTAGTGCTTAGAGAGGTTAAACTGGTTATGGAAAAAAATATTTAATAATAGAGTCAAAATAGATTTAGTTACTCACATTTAGTTTTGATATTTCATCTTTCTCTATATTTATATACCTTAAGTACCATTTATGGGCCTAAGTAGACATTTTGGTCCATAGCTATACTTACATGTAGCTTTTGAATTCAGTCTAACTTAATGTAGAAATAAGTTATTTATCAACATCAAAAGCATTTGCCTGACTTTGAAACAAGCAGTCCAATGTTGTTCATATTGAAATTATTGTGTGTTTTTTAAAAGAATTTTTAAAAGAGAATAAAACCATGTGATTTTACACACAGGTGCCATAAATGCTACAGCTGATATCACCATTGACTACACGTATGAGCCACCTGCCCCGCCCACCATCCGCGACTTTATTAACCCCTCAGTGGGTGACAAGTTCTACGATACAGACAACCAATTCCAGCAGGAAAAGTTGATAGGTAGGTATGGATTGTTGTAGAGTAAAAAAGAATGTATTTATTTCCATTTCTATTTGCTTTCTCTGTGATAACTCTATTCAAAATAATAGTTAAATTTTGAATTATTTCTTTATTAATTTTTTTCATTGTATCAATTAAATGTAAATTTCGCCCCCTCCAAGAAAAAAATTGAATATTTTATGTTTAATTAAGAATTCTTTGAATAAAGCAGTACTGTAAATTCACTTTCTTTGTTCACTTGAAACTTTATTTTTGCATAATTATGTGAACTTTCTGCTCACAATTTTTTTCTTTGTTTTATATTTGTTTTAAAAATAGTTAATATACCACAATAATTAAAATTTTGAAAAAAAAATTCTTTGATTATAAATATCAAATATTTCTTTAAAAAAAATATTGCCATAAAAATTTGATCAATTAGGTTGATCAAGTTGTATTATAATTGACAGGGGTAGATCAAGTTCACGTAGAGGACACAGACAAGATTGTGCTAAGTTCTGGTCATAAGTACCAGAAAAAACTACAGTCTGAACACCCACAGAACCCAGAGACCTGGTACAACGAGCAAGACGCCACGCCGCCACACGAGGTGAAGGAGTCACCACGCATCAAAAAGGTGGAGAAAGGACTGCGGCGCTGGAAAAAACTCCCGGAGCCGGCAGATGTAAGGAACAATTAACGAGGCAGTTAACAAAATATTAAACAGGAATTAGCATAATTTTTAATTCTGATTAGGATGTAATACTGTATACAGGGTTATTTTCACACTTTAACACATACAAACAATTTTGCCCCATATCATTTTAGTTTCACCCAGACACAGCTGTGTTTAGTGATAATGATTTTTACATTGAATTTAGTCCATTTGAAATTTGCCTGCTTAAGGTCCTTTGCAACAAGGCTGTTAAAAATAAAATGGCGGCAAAAATTTTGTGCATACAATATAAAATATGATATCTGAAAATGGTACAATAGGCAATAGAACAAAGTTGCTGTGATATTTAGCTGATGACATACATGGTTAATATCCTTTGAATTTAGGAGTCAGCCGAGTTTAACATGATTCCCCCCGGGTTTGACCCTGAATACCATAGGTCACCTGACCCCACGACTCGCAGGCTGACCAAACAGAATGCATCATTACTTCAAGTCAGTAAGTAACAGAACAAATACATGTAGTATTGTTATTTCTTTACTCTGTAGCAGAAAAATTAAAGGATCATTTAATCCAATGTATAGAACAATTGAGTCACATATATAATAAAATTGCTTTTCTGTAACATTTTCAACTGAAAAGGAACTAATTTGACCTGATTACTTATAGTTGACATGGGGTAATTAATTAGACCTGGCTATTTATAGTTGATGAGTGGAGGCAGAAGTGGCACCTGAGTGGTCAGCTAGTGGACAGTAAGCCGGACGATCTCATTAAAGACATGGCGGACATCCAGAGTCATGTCCGACTGAAGGCCATAGCGACCATCGCCAAGGTCGCGGAGTACCGGCCCCCAGCCCAGGAGATTTCTATATATGGGGACACACCCTCACTTAAAGCCCCCTTCCAGGAACTGCCCCACAAATTGTTTGTCGCTCTCGAGTGTCTGTTAGATGATAAAGTAGATCGCGTCAAACTAGCGGCAGCCATTACTCTTTACTCGCTCAACAAGCCAGGGGAAAAGGTACACAGAATAAATGGCAGATTTTTAGTACGCTTGCTTAAGTTTTATACTCTTTATGTTATACATGTTTTTTTCTTATATAAAATATACTTTGTTATCTAGAATCAATTCAAAAATTAATCTTAAGAATACATGCTACATTGGCTAATTGATATGGCTGGTAACCTATCTCACTCATTCTTTTTAGGCCAGACAGGTTTTACAGCTGGCCCTACAGAGTGAGACCAGTGTGGACCGGTGGGCCGCCGCTCAGTGTCTGGCCCACGATGGCCTCTGTAACTCGCTGGTCGTGGGCGAGATTGTCCGTCAGCTGCTGGAGACGGAGGATACCATTAAACACGAGAAAGCCATCTACCTACTCGGCAAACTCAGCATTTTCTCTGTAAGTGTTATTACAGACACTAGAATAAGATTCTCATAGGTAAAATGTTTCAAAACTTATAAATGAGAGCCATTTCATAAAATTACATGCAATGGTTTCAATTTTGGTATATTTTCTGATTTACAGGTTTATTTTATATTTATGCATGTATTATATAAAGAGTTATTCCCCTTTTTAAGATGCAAACAGTTTTGCCCTGTTTTAAATTTTTCTTTATGAATACACCACATTTTAAACAACGTAAGCAGACTTTTTTTAGTGAGGATTCAATTTTGGCATTATTATCAAGGCTTTGAGGTTGCTAAAACTGAATATTATTAATATTTTTTTTCATATCAGTTGTTAAAGCTATCTCGCTTAAATTACTTCTCACTAAAAATATGTACCTTTTTTTTTGAAGAAATTGCTAAATTTGCATCTTGCTAAAAATTCCACATATCATATACATGTGTATTTTCAGTTGCAACATGTATGTTTTTACTGCATGTGTGTCATTCTGATAGTGTCTTTCTTTGTATAAGCCTTTAGTCCATTGTATGGTCAGGCTGAACAGTTAAACACTGGTACAGTAGTTATATTTAACTGTGTATCATCCTGATAGTTTCTTTCCTTGTTGTAGCCTTTAGTCCATTGTATGGTGGCTGAACAGTTAAACAGTAGCAGCTGGAGACATAAAGTCATTGCTTGTAAAATACTTCCTACTCTCCACGGCACCATTAACAAGGCAAGTACTCTATTCTTATTTCTCAGTTTATGATGGAAAAATCAATTATTTAATTTCTTGTCCTATTATCTAAAATATCAAACAAATAAAATTCATCTATGGCTTACATTATGCCTCCATGGTGAAGTTGAATGTTACACCCTTATGTTTCTAGGATGTAACCAACAAGCTGATGGACTTGATGTGGAATGATTGGCACGAGGACGTCCGTAAGAGTGCGGCGCAGTGCCTCGGTAAAACTAGCCACGGGAGGGAAGTCCATGATGACCTCAGAGAGAGAATCGTCAAAGGCAATGAGGCCACCAGGCTAGAGGCCATCAGTAAAATAGGACAACTAGGTATTGGAAGGTTTTATCTAGTATCACTGAAAAAATACAAAGTAATGCTTAAAAAAGTACAAATTTTCATTTATAAAAGAACAGGGGGATAAGAAAGATACTTCCTTTTTCATTTTCCATTTAAATATGATAAATGTATAGCCTTTTTAGTTGGGAAAAGTGTATTTAAAAGCCGTAAGTGAATAAGTGAAAAAATTTCATTTGGAATTGTCAAAACCTGTGGATAGAATGCTTTAATTTAGGGAATAATTGTCATTTGACACTTTGTAAGCGATTTAAGACATAATTTTCACGAATAGTTGTTATTCCCGTTATATAATCGTAAGGAATACTTTTATACGGGAAATTAAATTTCCCATTCTAATGCAATCCATGCATTTTGTTTGTTGTTTACGTCTTATTTTGTTGAATTTTGTTACATGCAAATAAAAAGTGATTTACAGTATTCACAATGAAAAAGCTTTAAGTGAATATTTTAAAAAACATCATTTGGCATTAGCCAATCAAAACGTGTTTTACAAAACAATTGCATTAGAATTATAAATTTGTTTTGTTTCAGGTATCATGACAGCCAAATTACTGCCTGTGTTCCTGAAATGTTTTGAGGATGAGTACATCTCTGTGAGATCGGAAGTCTGTATAACTTGTGGTAACCTGGAAATAAAAGATGAACAAGTCATAGAGAAGTTAATCCATCTGGCCACATTTGATCCCATCTGGAAAGTGAAGGCTTTAGCCATTCAAGGTAAAAAACAAATTTTAATGCTTTTTGAAATTCATGTTCCAAAATGACTGCTTTAGATCTTTAGATTTTTTTCAATACTCCTTAAATATGTTAATGTTTGGGTAAATGAAAAAAAAATAATATAGATAAGGCAAAATTCGTAGTCTTTATTCTGACATAAATAAGGATGGGAGACATATTATTTTTATATTGTAGTTATGGGTAACATAGGGTGGGGTCTATTTTTACATTGTTGCTATGGGTAACATAGATGGGGTCTATTTTTATATTGTTGCTATGAGTAACATAGATGGGGTCTATTTTTATATTGTTGCTATGAGTAACATAGATGGGGTCTATTTTTATATTGTAGCTATGGGTAACATAGGAGTGGTCAATGAGGAGATTACCGAGACTTTACTGTGGGCGGTCCGGTATGAGGAGAAGCCAGGGGTGAGAGCGGAGGCCTGTCACACCCTGATGATGCTGAAACTGAAGACAGAGGAGGTGGCTGAAGTCCTTCAGGAAAGATTCCTAGTGGAGTCCAGCAGTATAGTCAGGGAGTAAGTATCTGTCTAGTCAGGGAGTAAGACTAGTATCTGTCTAGGCAGAGAGAGAGTCTGTCAAGTCAGATTGTAAGTGTCTGTCTATTTAGAGATTGAGTGTCTGTCTACTTAGAGAGAAAGAGAGTGTCTAGTCAGAGAGTAAGTGTCTGTCAGAGTGTCTTTCAAAGAGTGTGTGTCTAGTCAGAGATTGTCTGTTAGAGAGTGTCTGTCTACATAGAGTATGTGTCTGTCTAGTCACAGAGTATGTGTCTGTCTAGTCACAGAGTATGTGTCTGTCTAGTCACAGAGTATGTGTCTGTCTAGTCACAGAGTAAGTGTCTGTCTAGTCACAGAGTGTGTGTCTAGTCAGAAAGTCTGTGTTTGTCTAGTCAGAGAGTGTGTGTCTGTCTAGTTAGAGAGTGTGTGTCTAGTCAGAGAGTGTGTGTCTCTTAAGTCTGAGTGTATGTGTCTAGTCAGAGAGTGTGTGTCTGTTAAGTCTGAGAGTATGTGTCTGTTTAGTAAGAGAGTGTTTGTCTAGTCACAGAGTGTGTGTCTGTCTAGTAAGAGAGTGTCTGTCTAGTCAGGGAGTGTGTGTCTGTCTAGTCAGAGAGTGTCTGTCTAGTCAGAGAGTGTCTGTCTAGTAAGAGAGTGTGTGTCTGTCTAGTAAGAGAGTGTCTGTCTAGTCAGAGAGTGTGTGTCTGTCTAGTCAGAGAGTGTGTATCTGTCAGGGTTAGGTCAGGGATTGTCTGTCTTGTCAGAGAGTGTGTGTCTGTCTACTCAGTGAGTGTATGTGTCTAGTCAGAGAGAGTGTCTGTCTAGTGTGTGTCTGTTTAGTCAGAGAGTGTGTGTCTGTCTAGTCAGAGAGTGTGTGTCTGTCTAGTCAGAGAGTGTGTGTCTGTCTTGTCAGAGAGTGTGTGTATGTCTAGTCAGAGAGTGTGTGTCTGTTTAGTCAGAGAGTGTGTGTCTGTTTAGTCAGAGAGTGTCTGTCTAGTCACAGAGTGTGTGTCTGTCTAGTCACAGAGTGAGTGTCTGTCTAGTCAATGACTTTATGTCTGTCTTGTTGGAGAGTAAGTGTCTGTCTAGTCAGAGAGTGTGTGTCTGTCTAGTAAGAGAGTGTCTGTCTAGTCAGAGAGTGTGTGTCTGTCTAGTAAGAGAGTGTCTGTCTAGTCAGAGAGTGTGTGTCTGTCTTGTCAGAGAGTGTGTGTCTGTCTAGTCAGAGAGTGTGTATCTGTCAGGGTTAGGTCAGGGATTGTCTGTCTTGTCAGAGAGTGTGTGTCTGTCTACTCAGTGAGTAAGTATGTGTCTAGTCAGAGAGTAAGTGTCTGTCTAGTCAGAGAATAAGTGTCTGTTTAGTCAGAGAGTAAGTGTCTGTCTAGTCAGAGAGTGTGTGTCTGTCTAGTCAGAGAGTAAGTGTCTGTCTTGTCAGAGAGTAAATGTCTGTCTAGTCAGAGAGTAAGTGTCTGTCTAGTCAGAGAGTGTGTGTCTGTTTAGTCAGAGAGTGTGTGTCTGTTTAGTCAGAGAGTGTCTGTCTAGTCACAGAGTGAGTGTCTGTCTAGTCAATGACTCTATGTCTGTCTTGTCAGAGAGTTAGTGTCTGTCTAGTCAGAGAGTAAGTGTCTGTTTAGTCACAGAGTGTGTGTCTGTGTATTCAGAGAGTAGGTGTCTGTCTAGTCAGAGAGAATATGTCTGTTTAGTCAGAGAGTAAGTGTCTGTCTAGTCAGAGAGTAAGTGTCTGTCTAGTCAGGGAGTAAGTGTCTGTTTAATGAGAGAGTAAGTGTCTGTCTAGCCAGAGAATGTATTTCTAGTCAGGGGCCTGAGGAAGGAGTTCTTTTGTGCTTAGTAGTGATAAATTTTTAAAAAGAAATTATTAATCTGTTTTTAGAGGTCTTTGATTCCATGTAAGAGTTATTTAGATATGGGATGTTTCTTTGACAGGGAGATTGCCAACACATTAGAGATGTTTGGAATTAGTGCCACGGAGGACATGGACATGGTAGCCCAGATAAAGAATGAGGTCCGCAAACTCTGTACCAAGGGTAACATCGCGGCCCAGATCTCTCTGAATGAAGCCGATGACCTGAAACACGAGAACCTGAGTAGGATGATTTACGAGAACGAGAAAGAAATGGAGGTATGTCCAAGCCTAATAGTTTTAGGCTCCTTGTCTCGTTTCTGTTTTTCCCTCAGGTGCTATGTATGCCTATAAGTGTGAACTTTTTCAGCTACATTGTAACTTAAGCTTCTTTCTCTTCTCATTATCATATACTAAAGCCTCTGTACACAATCTAACTTTCATGTTCAGCTGCTCATTCAAAAGTATAGAAAAAATACATGTACCAGTCATTCTATTATCAAAAACATAGTCCATTGTTTTATCAAAAAAAAATACCTAGCTTGAACGAGCAGTTGTACTCTGTTTTATTGACTAACTTGCACTGTAGAACTCTGCTTTGCTTGCACTTTGCTAACAGCGTAGAAACCCGTACTCTTTCCTGTTACTGAGATCTGCGGAGTCCAGTAAAAGTCACTGTCACTTCACCTACAGTGTGTCCAGTCTATCTTACACCAGGCTGTCTAGAACAAGGAGAAGTAAGGTAAAACCTGTATAAATTTAAGTGTTTCTTTACCCGATAAATGTGTTTATTTATTTTGGAAGCAGGACCAATTTAAGCTGAACTAAATAAGGAGAACTAATCCACATCTCAAGGTCATATTTCTGTCCAAGTCCTTGATGTCATACGATCTGCAAGGTTACAGAACTCTATGGATGTTTGATATGAATCATGTCAAATTGTCATTTAGGATGAAGAATCAAAGCTGTATTTTTATGCATGAGAAATATGTTAATGCTTCTTTCTATGCAATTAATTTTTTTCTAAAAATAATCAAACTTTCTCTTGACCAGTTTTGCTTCAAAATAACTCTTTTATGAATATATGCAAGCTTTATACCTACTGTAAAAATCTTAATATGTACAGATGTATTCTTGCTGAATTGATTATCTTTAAAGAATCACTGTCTAGTTAGTATAGTATGCCAGGGCATCAATGATAGTTGGAAACATGGGATAATTTGCATAACAAGTAAGTTAAATAGATTTAAAATTATTTGCAAGTGCATAAGGGCGAAAATAACACGGGGTGAAAATAACCCTGTGTACAGTAGTCCTCTAACACAAAGACAGCCACACAAGATTTACATGCATATTAGGCCTCCTAAGCTCCTGAAATATCGATTTGCCTAATTTACATTCCGGTAGAATTATTAAAGAAATCAACTCCACTAACTTTCAAAGAGTTATCAGAGAGAAAACAAATGGAAATGGAAATATATACTTATAGATCATGTCTTTTTAATTTTTTTTTTAAATAAGGAAGCAGGTTATAAAAAATTAAATGAAACTACATGTATATACTATAGCATTAAATTTCCTATGATATAAATTGGTATACTAATTATGCATGCATCTAGGGATGCACCACAGCTCTCTTTTTGGTGCTGTATTTGAACTTCAGATGAGCAGATCTACAAACCTTACCTGTACATTTTAAACTCACAGGTGAATTCAGGTAGTGTGCTTGCAAAGTCTGCTTTCATACTAAATCTATGATGTCACTGTGATTTTATGTTGTTTGAAATACATTAGCTTTATTGTAGACAGTATAGTTACCTAATAGATGTATTTGTTTTGGTTTTCTTGATATTGCAACATATTTGATAATATGAAATATATTGGTAAATTATTAGAATTAGGGAAATTATAACATTTACAAGAAATGTTCTTCATATAAGAAAATCCTCTTGATGTTACATTTTCTCATCTTTAATCTCTGTTCCTTAATATATTTTTTTCTTACAATATTGTTAAATTTTGGTATGATTTTCTGTTTAGGAGAGTGAGGAGAAACTGCCACCAATGATGGAGAGAATAAGATCAATGAGTCAAGCCAGTGATCGTCCTGACACATCTCAAAGGAAGATGATAGGGGACAGACCCCACACCCCTCACCGTAAGAGTGTCTCCCCCACCCCGAGTCGTGAAGTCTTCACCCCCACAGCTGATGAGGAGCTTCACCAAATCATGTCACGTGAGGACACAAGGAGTGAGGTGGCCTCCCCAGAGGCTCGACCCACATCTGGCCAACAGCGCGACTCAGGCACACCCAAAGATCAGGGCACACCCAAGGGATCGGAGAGGTCAAAGGTCACAACAGAGGACAGTGATGTCACGGATAGTAGTGAGAGGGAATATTCCTCGGCGACCGGTGGGAGAACTCCAGAGACTGAGCGACCGACCAGTGTGGTAAAATTTGCATCTGAACTACAGGTGGAGGAGATTCCTGGTCGCTCCACACTGACTCCGTCAAAGTCTGCAATGGAGGACATGCGTGTGTCGACGCGTCTCAGTAGTATGGCAGGAGGACGCGTGTCGTCAGACGTCAGGGCATTCAGTCGTGACGCCATCAAGGAGAGGGAGAAAATAAACACCGAGGCACTGAAGAGCTACGCCGGGCTGGACATGCGGTATTACGATATGATACAGGATCTCATCCAGGTAGACAATACATACGAGCTGATGACCGGTCAGAGGCCCAAACAACCAGAAGTGGAACAGGTGAAAAAGATTACGATGATTCAGTCCCCATCCAAGGCACTCATCGCCCAATCAGACGAGGCTATACCGGTCGATGATGAGGATAACGACGTCCAATCATCTGTCATCATCACCGTCACGGCGGACGAGGAACAAGACAGTATTACTAATTAATCTGTTAATCGGAGCATTTATATTTAATATGGTTGACTTCAGTTGTGCATTATAAATCAAGGCTGATAACTTCAGGATAAAGTGCATTAATGAGTGATTAATTTCTTTAATGTGATATATTTTCATTTATCTCTGTATTATGAGGGAAAATGATGACTGTGATATTTTGTGCTTACTTGTAATTCTTTTTTATGTCTTATTAAAGAAATATATGTCCACATATAAAATGCTATTTTTTTCTGCGGTTTTCATACTCTTTTCAAAACAATAAGTTAAATAGATTGCACTTGCCGAACATACTGTGTAATTTTGAAGTGTTAAATAACCAAAACATGTAGAAAACAATATCAGTTGGGAAAGGGAGTACAACTGTAATCAAGATATGTTTGTGAAACACTGATTCCCCCGTATGGCAGCCTATGGCAAAGGTAGAAGATTCTTAAATGCATTAAATTAAATATATTGTTTTCCAAAGAAAGGACTTGTATGAAAAAAATATACTGAAAGCCCTAGAACTATTTGTTCAAAAGTAAAGGCTATTTCGTCCCAATGTCCCGACTTCTGGTAACGTCTTCTTCCGGTCCATCCGTAGTTAGTGCACTTTTTCTTCCACTGCCCATAGGTTCCGCGCCCTTGAAGCTATGAGACTGGGCTGCTTTGGTATATACAGAATCCTTGAACTCTACACAACTTTTGAAATACAGACATTTGCGGCTCTAGCTCGCACCGTTTTTGAGTTATAAGCCGAAATAGAAATCGGTGCAGAACTAAATTTCCACTTCATTCCCAGCCATACCCGTTTTCTGGGCACTTGAAAAGCTCTCACTGAGACCTTCTTAGCAACACCCGGGTCAAAGAAATCTGATCACAACAACCCGTCTAACTCTTCTTAAATTTTTTAAGACTGTTGTACATCGTTTAGTCATTGATATCTTTGGTAGGAGTAGATCAAAAATGTTTTATTCGAGAAAAGTTTTTGTCTTTATAAATAAACATGTGAAGTATGAAAGACCTAGCACTATAACTGTACAAAAGAAATGGCCATGGTTACCAGCGATAAAATGTGACATTGAAAAAGTGGGTCAAAATCCAAGGACAAGAGGTCAAATATATATTCAGAGCCGAAGAAAGGTCTTGTTACAAGAAATACACGTATGAAATTTTAAAGCCATAATTCTTTTCAATCAAAAGTTATGATCAAGGTTAAAGTTTTGTGGACAAACAGATTAACAAACAGAATTGTCGGTACCAAAGGGTGATGCATCGTAACTTATTATCAACACCCAAACCCTTATATGCTGGTGTTATCTAGGACCACTTTTGTTCTTAATTTATGTTAACGATGTTGCTGATAATATGATTACTTTTTGTAGATTATTTGCTGATGATAATTCTTTGCAGCATTCGTCTCATAACATGAAGAGAATTGAAAGAGACAAACAAAGATTTAAATGCTCTAGAACTATGGTCTAAAAAATGGTTATTGAAATTTAATCCCTCTAAAACTAAAGTAATAATGTTTAGCACAAAGAAAAATATAGAATATCCTAAGCTTCTTTTTCAACAATGTGAACTAGACTTCATTACTGAACACAAACACCTCGGAGTACTATTTTCACACGATGCCAGTTGGTCACCACATATTGATAATATACTGTCTATTGCCGACAAAAAATTGTCTCTTGAAAAAATTAAAATTTAAAGTAAATCGAAAAACACTCTCACTCATGTATACATCATTCATAAGACCGCAACTTGAATACGCTTCAGTGGTGTGGGGTAGCTGTCAACAGGGTGATAGTGATAGGTTAGAAAAACTTCAACTTTTTGCAGCTAGAATTGTAACAGGGTTAAAAACTATAGCCTCCAAAGATTCACTTTATTTTGAAACGGGATGGGAACCGCTTAGTTGTAGAAGACAAGAAGCTAGATTAAAAACAATGTTCAAACTTCATAATAATTTAGTGCCAGAATACTTAATGGACATACTTCCAAATATGCGCTTTAACATATCTATCTACTCGACAAGAAATTATCAAAATTTATTCCAAAGTGTCGATTACAAACTAAGTTGTTTATTCCTACTGTAGTTAACGAATGGAACTCCATTCCACTCGAAACTCGAAATTTACAGTCAATGTCGAAATTCAAATCTAAAATTAGTAATAAAGAATCTAGATCTGCTCCACCTTCTTACTTTGATTACGGTAACAGAAGACTAAATGTTCTTCAAACCAGATTACGACATAATTGTGTATTAAATAACGACCTTTATAGATGCAATTTAATATCAAGTCCCATGTGCACGTGCGGTAAAGTTGAGGACACATATCATTATTTTTTTGTATGTCCAAAGTATGCGAACGCCAGAAATGAATTTTTACATAATTTTTTACAATTTGATAAAATCCACATACTACTAGATACACATGTCTTATTATGGGGGGTTGATTCACTGAATGTTGCAGAGAATGAACGTCTCTTTTCTTTTGTTCAAACATTTATTAAGCATTCTGGTAGATTTCCTTGTTAAATACTGTACCGATATTTAAGGAATCACTGTCTAGTTAGGAGGGTATGTCAGGGCATCAACAATAGTGGGAAACATGGGATAATTTGCATAACGAGCGAAGCCCGTTATGCTTAAATTATCCCATGTTTCCCACTATTGTTGATGTCCCTGACATACCCTCCTAACTAGACAGTGATTCCTTATATTTTCATTTCATTGTGAAATAAAATTGTAGATTTAGACTTTAAAAATGTAGATAAATAGATTTAAATCACATGATGACTTCCATGCCAGTTTCAATAGTCCTCTCAAACACAAAGGCAGCCGCACGAGATTTACATGCATATTTGGCCTCCTTAGCGTCAGACACAAGACAGATGCGCAAAAAATTAGGCCTCCTTAGCTCCCGAAACCTGCCTAATTTACATTGCAGAATTATCATGAAATAAACTCCGTCAACTTTCAAAGAGTTATCACAGAAAAAAATTAGAAATGGAAATATTAATATATGAATTTGTTCAACTTTTTATATATTTATACATATATGCAAAATGCATCAATTTGTTTACTTTTGCAAATACTGAATACTTTTAATATAGCATGTTTAACTGTGACAATATAAATGTGTAATTTAAATGTATAGGGAGAGGGCGTTATAAGTTTTCAGAACTTGTGCTCAATCCCTTTGTAATTATATTACAATAAAATATGTTCAAATCAATCAACAAACAGACGGACGGTAGACAGAGCAAAAAATATATACCCTCGTATCTGTGAAAAGATATTACTGAGGGCACAACTGGTTTTATTATTTTTAGAAACTTACACTTAGTGTGTGCCCTAATAATGAAAAAGGAACAGATTTAAATTTCATGAGAGTGCCTCGCCCTGTAATGACAGTAAAAGCAATTGGTCATAACATACATGTAATATCAATTTCAGTCTCTATTTAATAGCCCACAATATCAATATAAATTTTTATGCCCCCATTGTCGAAGATTTGGGGGTATATTGTTTTTGTCATGTCCGTCCGTCTGTCTGTCGGTTTGTCTGCAAAAACTTTACCCATAACTTTTGAATAGGCAGGGCTATTGCTTTCATATTTCACAGGAGTATTCCTTGTGACAAGACCTTTCTTTGGGTATATCACCAAACTTGACCTCTTGACCTTGGTGTTTGACCTACTTTAGCTAAATTGAGCTCATGTAAGCTTTTCTGATCACAATTTGTCTGGCATCCGTCTATATGTCCGTCTATCTGTTAACTTTTCACATTTTTAGGTCACCTGAGTAACTCAGGTGACCTAATGCTATCCGTTTTCGTCCGTCGTCGTGCGTCGTGTGTCGTGTGTTAACATTTGAACATTTTCAGCTTCTTCTCTGAAACCACTGAACCAATTTCAACCAAATTTGGTATACAGCATCTATGGGTAGAAGGGGAACAAAAATTGTGAATTTCATGGTCCCCGCCCCCCTGGGGCCTGAGGGGTAGGGCCAAAACCACTAAAATTATTGCAATCTTTTAAAAATCTTCTTCTTTACTCCTGGACATCAAGCAGGCAAACTGTGGGCATGAATGTAATGAGCATTAAGTCCTCTACCAAAATTGTGAAATTCATGACCCCAGGATCAGGGGTTCTAGTGCTAGGGCAGGACTCTATAGATTATATAGTGAAAATGCATTATTTCTTTGAAAATCTTCTTCTCTGCTCCTGTGTATTAAATAAACTAACTAAGCACATAGTTATGATGAGCAAGAGTGCCTCTTCCAGATTTGTGAATTCTGTGGCCCCAGGGTCAGGGGTTCTGGTGTTAGGGCGGGGCTCTATAGATTATATAGTGAAAATGCATTAAATCTTTGAAAATCTTCTTCTCTGCTTCTGGGTATTATATAAACTAACTAAGCACATAGTTATGATGAGCAAGAGTGCCTCTTCCAGATTTGTGAATTTTATGGTCCCAAGGTCAGGGGTTCTAGTGCTTGGGTGGGGCTCTATAGATTATATAGTGAAAATGCATTATTTCTTTGAAAATCTTCTACTCTGCTCTTGTGTATTAAATAAACTAACTAAGCACATAGTTATGATGAGCAAGAGTGCCTCTTCCAGATTTGTGAATTTTATGGCCCCAGGGTCAGGGGTTCTGGTGTTAGGGCGGGGCTCTATTGATAATATAGTGAAAATGCATTATCTCTTTGAAAATCTTCTTCTCTGCTCCTGTGTATTAGATAAACTAACTAAGCACATAGTTATGATGAGCAAGAGTGCCTCTTCCAGATTTGTGAATTTTATGGCCCCAGGGTCAGGGGTTCTGGTGTTGCATAAATAGTGAAAATATTAAATCTTTGAAAACCTTTTCTCTGCTTCTGGGTATTATATAAACTAAGCACATAGTTGTGATGAGCAAGAGTGCCTCTTCCAAAAATTGTGAATTTTATGGCCCCAGGGTCAGGGGTTCTGGTGTTAGGGTGGGGCTCTTTTGATTCTATGGTGAAAATGCATTTATTCTTTGAAAATCTTCTTCTCTGCTTCTGGGTATTAAATAAACTAACTAAGCACATAGTTATAATGAGCAAGAGTGCCTCTTCCAAAATTGTGAATTTTATGGCCCCAGGGTTAGGGGTTCTGGTGTTAGGGCAGGACTCTATTGATTATATAGTTAAAATACATTAATTCTTTGAAAATATTT